CCGGTGTCCCCAGGGGGTGACATTGCCCCATGGAGGAAAGGAGGGGGGTGACAGCCATGCCGTTGGTGGCCCCCACGGCGGGGTGACTGTCTGTTTGGCCCCGATATCTCTGCCTGCCAGGCTGCCTTCCGCTGGAGCTGTGTGATCTTTAATCTGCCTTAGCCCTATCTCCTCTATCGGCGCTGGTTTCCAAACCTCAAAACGCTGGGGGGGCTAATCTGAATCACCCCCTCCCCCCTGCATATGACATTGTCACTCCTCCACAGAGCTGGCGTGTTGTCCCCCACCATCTCCATCCTCCCTGAGGTCCTCCTGCTACCCTCCTTGACCTCCCTTTGCCCCCCCTGGTACCCCGGGAGAGGGGATGCTGGGGTCCTGGATGTGTTTTCCAGGGGTTGGTGTAGCTCGGATTGGGGGGGGGACAACACACAAGGGCCTGATCCTGCCCTTGCACCTTCTCCATCAGGGTTAGGTGGGGAAAAGAGTTGAGAAATGCCAATTTGGCTGCCCACCCCGCTCCTGCCTGCGCCGCCTTGAAGAAGAGGGGAGGGTTGAGCCTTCCTCCCAGCTCCGGCACCCCCTCCTCATCACCCAGGGGTGGGCACCCCTCGGGGCTCTGCCTTCTCCCACCGGGGGGGTTCCTCCCTGGCTCCATTTGCCACCCTTCCCCGCTGCCCAGATGCGGCTCATTACCCATCCCCAGGGTCACCTTCCTCCCTGTTTACCCAGCATCATCGGCGCTGGGCCCGCCATTAATTGGTGATGGATGGGGGGGGGGGTGCCGAGCCAGGGTGCTTGTTTCCCCGCGGAGGAGCTGCTGCCATTTACCACCCTCCACCGCCTCCCCCAGCCATTAACTTCACTTTTGCTCTTTATTCTGTTTACTCTCCCTCCTGTCTCCCCGGCGCCGCGGCGTTAAATGCGGTTCCGGGCCCCCGGGGAGGGGCTGTGGAGCTGGGGGGGGGCACAAAGAGCCTCGGCCACGGCACCACCATCTCTGACTCCATGGAAGGATGCTCCTTTCACTCTTGTCCCTTGTCCCCAGCCCCTCCAAGCAACTTTATTGCCACCCCCCACCATCAGCAGGACCTCAGCATCCTCCCTGGCCTGGACCGCTGGAGGAGATGAGGGGGTGGTGATACCCACGCGTCACCTTTTTGTCCCCCCACATCACCTTTTTGTCCCCCACATCACCTTTTTGTCCCCACACACCACCTTTTTATCCCCACAGCCCCCCTCCGTGCCCATCCCGGACATCATCTCCTACTCAGGGGCCGGCGGGCAGAGCCGAGGTCCCCTCACCATCCCCTGGAGATGTCAGAGGGGGGGACCCAAGGTGGGGTCCTTCCTCCTTCCTGCCGGTTCCCCGCCTGATGCTGTGTTCTCCTTTCTCTCTCTCTTTCTCTCCCGCTGCCTGCGGGGCCGCCCGGGCAGGGAAGGCCGGATGGTGGTGTTATCCCTGGTTTTGGGACTCTCAGAACAAGATGACTTTGCCAATATCCCCGACCTGCAACCCGCTGGGACGCAGCCGAACCAGCCGAACGCTCAGGGGGACAAGAGGTATGAGCGAGGACGAGGGCAGTCCCGCAGCAGGAGAAGGAGGAGGATGAGGAGGAGGATGAGGATGATGATGATGAGGAGGAGACAAGGGCTTCATCCAAGGGTGGAGGAGGAGGAGGAGGAGGCTGGCCTCGTGGAGCCCAAAGGTTGGAGCGGCACAGGGTGGCCCAGCGGGCACGGTGATGTCCTCAGCTCTTCCCCCCACCACCACCACCAGGACCCACAGTTCTGCACCCGAGAGGACCCCCCCCCCAAAATCTTCATCCCTTCCTCCTCCCTCCCTGCCATCCCCTTCTCCCTCCCCCCAGCCCTGGCTGCATGCTGGGGGGGGAGGGGGTGGACACACGCTTGGGGCAGGGTGCCAGGAGGAGAAGTGGGATGCAAAGTGTGTGGGGGGGTCAGGCTCGTTGGGACCCCCCCACGATGATGCCCCATGGGCATCTGGATCTCATCCCATCCCAATGCATGTCTCGGTGGGGCTGTTGCATGGGGGGGGTCCTCAGCTCCCCTGGGGACACTTGGGGGACACCTGGGGACCCAAGGCTGAGCAAGCACCATGGGGGGTGGCGAGGGGGGGG